CAAAACGCCTTTTAACAGAATTAACAATATGTGCTGAAAATGAATCTAAAACTAATAATGATTGTGGATTAGAAAGTTTTTTAGCACGTTTAATCCAAACATTTTCAATCCAATATAACATTTCATTTTCATTTATCCATCCAGTTGGATTAGCACGAACAATAACTTCTTGTGGAAAATTTCCTTTTGGAATGTTTTTAAGTTTAAAAATTACAAGAGGAGAAAGTTTAGTTCCATCTGCCATACAAGTTAAAACTACTATAAAATTAGTTTTTTCATGACCTGTTATATGAATACTAATAGTTTTTGCTCACATTTCATCAACAGTGGTATTATTTGATAAATCAAATATCAATGGAATTTCATCCATATTACCAATAAATGCTAAGGGATAATCATGTTGTATTCGCCTATACATAACAAATGCTAAAAATTTTTGTTGTTTTTCATATAAATTGTTTGGTAAATGCTAAGCGATGGTAGTATGATGATGATTACTTAAGTTGTTACGGTTTATTAAACCATCCAACCATTTGTTACTAAAAGCAAAAGATTGTATATTAGAACAGGATGCTTGCCATTGTGGTTGTTATGCTAAAGCTTTTGCTTTTACTTGAATCATATTTCGAGAAACTGCTTGCTGGTTACTTCTTCTTTCCTTTATCCACTCAACTAAAGTTACCTCTAAAGCTGGATATTTTAGAGGTTTACCTTTATTTAAACATTTTAAACTAGGTCGTGCTTTCATAAATTGTTCTTTTTTAGATACCCAGTCACGAACTTGTTTGGTTTCAATATTAAATTTAGCTGCTGTTCCATTTTTATTATGTCCCTTTTCATGATAATTAACAATAGCAAACAAGTTTTTCTCTTACATTTCATACTCTTTATACTTTTTCTGATATTCTTGCACAGTTGGTATTTTTATTTGCACGCGGACCCATATTACTTATGACAAGGTTGTAAAGAAATGGTAAATTTATGTTGTGATTATAAGGACAAAAAAAACCAAAAAAAGGTTTAAAGTCGAAAAAAGACCAAAATTAAAATTAATAAAATTCTAATCACGTTATCTGCGAAATTCGCGTCATTCACAAAATTCATGTCATTCATATCATATAACATATTATGGCTTTATTTCAAAGGAATGTTAAAATGAAAGTAAAAAAAGATGATCAATGATTATGATTAATATCACCTTTTATTGTATTCCCGTTGTGTAATATTTCCCTTATGTAGTACCTTTCTCTGAATGTAGTATCTTCAAGTACTATTCAAAATTAAGCTTAGATTTGCTTAAATAGTACCCAGTATTAATATTAGTGCTATACACAGTGATGTGCATTTTATGTTTCCAATGGTAAAAAATTTGATTGGAAGCTTCCAATCCAAATAATTTATTAATAAATTGTACTTTCAAACCTTCCAAAGGTGCTTCCAATCTTTTAAGTGCATATCACTGGCTATACGGTAGTTGCTTGACGAAACCTCAGGGTATTGACAATTGTCAAAAGTCAAAACGTTTTAACTTTTTATTTTTAAAAGTTGAAACTGTTAAAAGATTTAGACAATGTCAAAAGGTTTAGATATTGTTGAAAGTATAGTTGCCTATCATAACCTTAGAATTTTAATAATTTCAAAAATTGAAACATATTTAAACCTTTTTTTTAAAAAAAATGTCAAAACTATCAAAAGATTTAAATAATGTCAAAGGTTTAAATAATAATTAGTATTAGTTTTAATATAAAATCAATAATTATTATTATAATTTAAACATTAAAATAATATTTATTAAGTAATACTATTTGTTCTTTATTTGATAAATGAATAATAATAAACAAATGATTAAACTAAAAATTTGTTATAAACAATTTCAAAAAAAATCCAAAACTAATCATCATCATTATATATTAAATCATTTGTATTCCAATCAAAAATACCAACACCTTCATTTATATTATCTAATTCTTTTTCTTTAGAATTTTCTTTTAATGAAGAATCAGAAGAGGAATCATCATTAAGACTATATCCCAAATCTTCATTAAAATCTTTTTTATCTAATTGTAAGGATGATTCCAAAAATAAATTCAAAGTAGCAGTTGCTGATTTTGTATTTGAAGAAGGACGATCTATGAATTGTAACAATTCTTCTTGATTAATATTTTCTTTTTTTTTTTCTAATATTTGTTCATTTGCTTCCTATAAAATTTGTAAAACTTGACTTTTAGTCATATTTACTGAAAAATAAGAAAATTCTTTTTTAGCATTACTATTAAAAAAACAACAAATTTTTGCAATTGATTTCAAATTTTCAACAGTTAATTGAAGACGTTTGTTATTTATTAACCAAAAAAGTAAAGAAATTTTTTTTCACAAGAAGCACTATTTGGAATAATAGCCAAAATCTTTAAAGCTAATTCTTGAAGATAATCTGGTTCAGATTCAATTTTTTCCCACTATCTAAGTGGAATCATATTCAGATTCATATGAATCATCATATGGATATTGAAAGGTTTTATATAAATGAAGTTGTGAAGTTAAAATATAACCACTTGCAAGATCATTACCCATTTTTTGCTATATATTACCAGCAGTTTTAATAATATGTTTAAATCAGAGTTGGGAATGGAACAGATCTATTGGACTTCAATAGCTAAATAATCTAATAGATCAGATCCATTGGTAATCCATTGGATTCAAATGACGCAGTATGTATGAATAGATTGTTGATCAATGGATCTTAATAGATGATGATCCATTGAGATCCATTGGGATCTATTGATCAATATGATCAATATATGATATAATTTAATTTTGTTAAAAAAAAATTACAAAAATAAATGACTCTATGGTTTATTTGATTTTTACATATTTTTGCAATAAATGAATAAATGCTTCAAGTATCTGAAGTGTTATTTTTGCAAAAATAAATTGCAATAAATGAATGCCTCAAACATCAGAAACTTCATTTTTGCAAAAAAAATTAAAATTTTTTGCAATAAATCAATGTCTTAAGTATTGGCTGAAGTTAGGGTTGGTAAAAATCCTAATAAGTCCTAGTTGGTCTTTAAGAATTAAAAGATAATTTTAATTTATATACTATTAATTAAATTTTTTAATA